TCTGAAATTCAGCACGATGGTTTCCGAGGCAATCACGTGGAGGTTGACCTGACAGGCTATATTGCTAGCAATGGGATTGTATTCCCCATTACTAACAATCTCTTCCCCCAACCTTGAGGGCTGGATAGGCGTTTATCTTCTCGTACTCACACTGGTTCTCTAAATGTGTTATTACTGTATTATGTACTTAGACAAACTTGATATTTCGCGGAAAAATATGCTTCGATTTGCATTTTGAACTTCAAGAAGAAGGAGGTTCTCAATTCAGTTCTATTTTTTTATATTTGTTACCTCATTACTCCGTCAGTTTTATATCGATTTGGAAGATTCTTTATCTGAAAGTTTATCAAAATCGGTTCAGTAGATTAAAATAACTGGTTTTGTTACAATTGACGTCCGTTTTTTCTACTACACAATCTTTAATTATCATATTATGAAAGCATACGGGAGCAAAAATTACAGGATTGTGTATTATGCGATTGCAAATCATAAAAATAAAAATGCGAATTAGGTATAATATCTAAGAGATGGAACTTAGTAAGTAACGTACCTACTTCTCTGAAGATATCCATCCATACTATACGTATATACTATGTGTATGGATGGAAGACATTTAGGAAAATGACATTTTTGGAGCCCATAGTGATGAATGATCTGGGATTATATGAGGTGATTGAAGAAATTGAAAAGAGTTCATAGTCTGTTACAAACATTTTTATTGACCTCTATAGCAGGATTTCTCTACATAAAGGTTAGTCGTAATGGGTATACTAATCCGAAACCTAGTGATGATACTCGTGAAACTGACCAACTTTCTCCAAGTTGGTGTCGTATTAACACAAAGGAAAGAGAATTCATGCGCCACTTTAAATAAATTTAATGTTGGTCTTATTCAATCTATGTTAGCTGAACTTAAACCAGAAATTTTTTAAACATCTCTGTAAATTATTGATGCCCATTAATTCTCTTTCCGCGTCTAGGGAAAGTAGATAAAGTTTGAGAAATCAGTTCAGGGTACGATAGGACTGATATACCTGAAGAAGGTAAAAGCCCTTAAAATAATAATAAAAAATAAATAATAATTGATTTTGTAACTTTTATACAAAAAAGTAGTATGAAATGTCCAAAAATTTTTAGATTCCGAATAGGTTGCATTTTGTTCAGTTTCATGAATAGGTTTTAGCTTTGGATTTCAAGATATCAAAATTATTTTTACATATCAACTTTTTTAAACCTACAAACAGATTTAGCCGAGAACAACTGGAAAGAAACGATTGTTTGTTTTGTTTCTTTTGAAATCAACCTGTAAACAGAATATTTATGTTGGTATATATATCTTTTACGACATTCGGTATAGCAGAAGCCATAAAAGCGTGTCCACGGTTTACGGTCATTGACACGTAATAATATGAAATGTTAAACCATGCTTAGGGTGTTCTAATTTTGGCAAGTGCTACGTCAGCCACCAGTGTAGCAGGCGTCTCTATTAGAATTTATTCGATTGCTATTTCATTATACTTATCTATAAGAGGGTTTATACCGAAGAGTGATAACGAACGTCGGAGTTATCTGTCAACAAATATTTTTCATTGTTTTTGAATTATTACTTAAAAGAACTAAAGCATTAATTATGCAACCAATATCTTAAACCTATAATTGAAAATTAAAACATAATTATTAATCAATTATTAGTGTTGCCGCCTTGCATATAATGGACCATCTCTTTCTTTCCCATGGGAGTTGTGTAAGAATGGCGACTAAGGAAATTTAATGGTCGAGGGCGGGCAGTAGCATCCTTTTAAAACATTATCAAAGTCTAATTGCGGTTACCAACCCGTATGCCAAGCATGGCAAGTACTGACTGAACTTGAAGGCTTATGTTCAACAGTGGACGGTTAACGGCTGATATGATGATGATAATTAGTGAAATATTTTCGAAAATGACGATTAAAACATTGTTAAGCTTTAACCAGCTTCGGTATGAATGCAACCTAAAGATGAGCAAAATATTACTTTCAGATTAGCGTTTAGTTTATTAAGAATTTAACAACACTGCATACACTAAAATTAATTTAACAGTTTTGGCTGTACGTTCTAAATTAAGCCGTTATACTCAACATGCGGCCCGCCTAGTATTTGTGAGTGGCTTACTTGGCATAGCAGTAAAGTTATCAACCACTTTGAATTTCGCGCGGATCCAGAAAAAAATGGGCACGCTAGTAAATCAGGTACCGTGATAGGTAATACGTTACAATCATTCTTGCGTAACTTCCATACTTATTTTTAATGTATGAATTTGGCCAGAAAACATGCTGACGTTTAGACAAATGATCAAATCACAATAGTGCCAACTTAACTAACAAGAATACTGTCAAATGCGATGCAAATGGTTGCCATTTAGACTATTTGTAGAACAGTTTTAGCTTTGTATTTAATATTATTTTTTATTATTTTGATGTGATTTACAACTGTATATATTTAATCCTGACCCTATTACGAGGTCTACTCTAGAAATTGATCAGATATTACGGGAAACTTGTGTTTACTATCAATAATATTACGAAAATATATTTAAGAATGTTATCTTTTGTTTTATTTTTGCTAAAATGTTCATATATTTCTTTTATCACATGATTCGCGTTTCAATGAGAAATATTTACATTTTAATATCGAAAATCTAACTACAGTATCATTATTATTATTATACCCTATTTGTTTCCATTTTGAATATCAGGTTGGCTAACATAACGAGAAAAGGAGGATTTTGTGTAGATTGGTAAGAGATTCCTGATCGAGTCGCTTTACGTGGCTTGTATGAAGCGCGTTCTCTTTTCCCTTGGTTATATACTGCTCTACGTAATTTTGGATTATCTGTAAATTTGAATTACATATAATCCAAGTAGCCCACGGCGCTATAATTAAAATATCTTTGTGGCCCTTATAAAAAAAAAAAAAAAAAAAAACTATGTTATGACTGTTCTAAAGACACTAAAGGATTCCAAACAATTTATGAAGACTAGGCAGCATGGTCTCCGAGCTAAGCCTGTACCACAACGGAACAAACGTTCTAAAAAAAAAGACACTAACGGTACCTAGACGTCGATTATAGGATGGCAACCATATTATTTTCAGAATATATTATATATATTCTGAAAATAATATGGTATATCATATATTTTTATAAATGGATTTAATTTACTTTCCCAGGTCAAGTATCGCGATAAAAAGTTTTAATTTTTATATTCAGGAATTCCTAAATACCGCGTTAAAATTGTCAATAGGAAATTAAAAATTAGAATATTTTTTTTTTTATGTATAGGCCAAAAGGATTTAATAGTATAATATTTAACTTTCACTGTAAACTTTTATGTTTCAAACTTGGATTTTTTTTTGTCATAAGAATATAAGTACTCTGTTTTAATCTTTTCATGAGAGCATGTTTTTATTAATTATAAAATGAAAGTATTTTGCGCATGAGGAGGCGGACTGTTTAATTTATTGATTTTAAGAAAGGAATAAGTTCGCCTGTAAAACCTTATAATAAAAATAAAAAAGAAACAGTCTCGCGCCCTTAGTTTCCCGGTAACATAATTATAAGAAACCGGACATGTGGAAGTCGGACTACCACAGGGAGCGTTCTGTATCAAGCATTTATTTTTGTCGTTACATTCTACTATGTACGATTTCACATACGTTACTTTTTTTTTATAAGAGGGAAGACTATAAAAATCGGCTATATGGAAAAGTAATTTACTGCTCTACTTGTGTCATATCATCATGAAGCTATGCTTGCATTTTGGATCCTTACATTATTCTAATAAGTAAGACTAGTTCTTGATAGCTAGGTATATATTTTATTCAGTATTAGAATTTAATAGCTTATATGTAAATGTTGCAGGGAAATAGGAATATTAGGGATTTTGCTTACGCTATCGGTGTACAGTGGGGGATTATCTGTGAGGGATGATAGGTGAGAATTCAGTATGTAAGTTGGTTCGGCTTGATTAATTCAATAGTAATTAACCACAGTGGTTTTCAGGAGGAATCACGTGGGGGTCGTGGTAAGGTATCGCTAGCAATGGGGCTGTTAGTAATAGTTACTAACTATAATTTTCCCCTCACTCTAGTAAGAACTAATTAGGTATATATCCGTTTTATATCTGTTATTAACTGTATTTTGCAAATTTATTCCCGCGACTTACGTTAAAATAAACCCTTTCTTACCACAAAAAAGTAAAAACTGTGATAGACAGATGTTCGATACATGTTTAAACTTCTTTCTACAAATGTGTGTCTTGCTGTTTGTGTATTAAAAGTAAAAGATGTTTAAAGTAATATTTTTTGTTGTAATAAACCTATAGATTTTGGCAAATAAAATTTAAAATAAATTTAATTATATTAAATAATATAAAATCACGTCGACTCTGTATAGATAGTGTTTTAAATTATTTTTGTGTTAAAACACGATTATGGGTTAAAGCAAGATATGATATGATCTGTCTGTGTACCTATATCTTGTTTCATTAAAATCCTTTCTGTTGTTAAAGTGTGATCGATTTACAAATAACTAAACTTCTGAACATATTTATGTTTTCACATTTCTAATTTCATAGTATAGGAACCAAATACATTATTTCAAAACTACCTGACTAATGTTCTTTGTCACCAATTTGTATTACTTCCAAACCTTTAACCCAAATTATCTACCTGACTGATGTTCTTTGTCAACAATTTATGTTAGTTCCAAACCCTTAACTCAAATGATCTACCTGCCTGACTTAGTCAGTAATTAATATTTGCGAGTAAAGATCATAATGGCGTCATGTAGTTACCTACCTGCGTTCTTAAACAATATTATTAATTATGGCGTTCAGCAGTGTTCCGTCACCTACGGCGGCCGTGACGGCGCTCGTCTCGAAGTAGCTGGGCCACGCCGCTTGTAACGCGCTGACGCCTTCGTCACTATTCTCGTACCCCGCCACTCTGCTTTGCTTCGGTTCGACAGTTGTGCGCTGCACGAACTATACTACGCTCGCCACTGCCGGACGAAAATGTGTTCCGCGTCCACTGTGTACTAAGGCTTGTTTGCACTGTGTTTGTGATCGTTGTACTAGCAGACAATTTCAGTTAAGACCCGTAGTAGATTAATTAGACGATGATGGCTCCAGAAACGGTAGTGACTGTGGAACACAATAAACCCACGGCCCCACCACAGCAGCAGCAGGGCGGCGCTTTGGACTGGATTAAAATCAACACGGATTATTTCAAAACGCCACCTGGGATACTAAAAGTCATCGAGTTGGTGAGTTGAATAAATACTAAAAATTAAAAAACATTTTTATTGAATATTCGATAAGAAATAGGTGTCAAACACATTGAGACGCTAATTGCTTATCACTTAGACAGCTAATTCTTCCTATTTAAGTTAGACACGTAGTAGGCTAGCGTGATGGTAAACAAAACCTGTTTGTGTTGTCAATGTGTTTAGTGTGTGTGTATTCTGACAGGTTCCACAATTTCTACTTTGGTCGTATCGTAATATTTTAAATTTAAGTAAATTCAACCCCCATATATTGCTAGCTAATTAAAGTTAATTAGCTAAGTATATCTATTCTTCTTGGTATTTGTGGTATGAGTCGATAGTATGCGTTTGCATAAAAGTTAACGAGGTCACAGTACGTGGTAGGATATTGTATTGCCGAGACCGCTTTTTTGGCGTGCGTTGTGAAGTGGAGGTCACTAGGTAGCGGAGGTAGCGGACAACGGTGCAGGGTGTGGGGCGCAAACGCAGCTGGTTGATAAGAAAGTTATTCGTGGTAGTATCTAAATGCTTAAAATCATTATACCTACATTTCTTTTCACTATTTATTGTGCTGATACATTTGTTATATAGATAAATACTTATATACCGATACGTCTTAACAAATCGCAAGTAATGTTTCTGTATTGTAAGCATCAGTGATTCTAAACATTCATGGACTGCAGTGAACGCTTATTTCTTTGATAAAAAGAGTATCCACTGACCGTACTATATGATTGATTGTCTTTCTTGTTATAAAATAATTAAAGAAATTGTTACACAAACAACAATTTTGATCGTGAAAGTAAGAGAATAAGTAAAACAAAAAATGAAGTGAATTATTGAAAAAAATATTATTCGGCATTAAAAATTAGAAGTTTATTCAAGGTTATATCGGTATCCATTACTTAGAATGTCGATCAGCTCAGCTCTAACTTGTGTGCTTATTTGTAACTGCAGTTTCAACGCAGTTGTTACAAACGCACTTACGTAATAGAATATACCCAACAGATGCCTTTTCTCGGAATTGCTGGTAACTTTTAGCATTTACTCGAGTTGAAAAAATTTTGAAAATAGGTCTCTCCTGTTTCGTGAATTGTAATAATAATATTTTGTTATAACTGTTTTTATACTCTAATTTGCAACGTTGTTGATGTAAAATAATTTTATGGGATTGCTGTTTTTTCTTATATCAATTATTATATATTTTTACGTGGCGTATATACAATATTGGTGCTTAAATTAAAACACTTACAATAATTTAGATATTTTATAAAGCAATGAGAATATTTTTTAAAATTTATACAAGTAAATAATTACTTTCACGTAACAAGAAAACACAGGATCGAATACGAAATTATCCATATATATCAATTAGACAAGACACACCTATTACGTAATACTTATTCAGTCATCAGCATGCATTGTTTTCTCTCGGGCTTAGTGTACATTATACATAATAATATGCATACAATTTGTAAAAAGTAACTTTCTCTTACATAACATTGATTCTAAACTCTCTTTATATCTTTTTAGTCAACAATTCAACGTAGCTTATGGTTTTTGATCGTAGTTCGTCTGTTTAATAATAATAAGAAAAAAAAAATTGTTTGTCTTTGTAAGTAGATAATTATAAACTGTACTTAGTACAGGTGTTATTATTAAATCGACCATGATATCGCGCAGTTTGTATAACATTACAAAAATGTCTAATTGTTTCGATGCATTTTTTGTACATATTGCTGGATTTTGGTTTATTTGCGTACTAGATGTACCATTTTCCTTATTAGATATCCAATTAGTCATTAGAAATTAAATAAAGTTTTATTGTAACGTTTAATAATTTTTAACAATAAATATAAATCTATACTAATATTGTAAAAAGGAAAGATTTGATTGTTTGTAATGGATAAACACAAAAACTATTCAACCGATATTAAAATTCTTTCACCTATAGAAAGCGAAGCCAGGGCGGATCGCTAGTAAATAATGTATGGTATCAAAATAGTTAAACGATTTCTCAATTCGCTTGTATTTTTTTTTTGTGTAAGTAGATAACCATATTATGCAATATCTTTGAAAATTCTTAGCTAATGTTGATATTGTTTTTACAACCGGTAGGGTTTAATGCCGTGGGCGTCCCACATTAATATTGCCACGATTGCGATATTATTTTTTAGCTCAAACATTATATAAATATTTATTAGTTAGAAATGTTCTAATCTAATAGAACATGCTTGAGCTACCTACGTATAGTACGCGACGCCGCGACGCTGACATCATCGTTGCGCCCTGTTGTGCCGCCGTTGTTATCCTTGCAAGGTTATTTGCTTAATAACCTATAAAACCGCCTTTACACATCATAATAAAAAATGACGTGTGCACCTATATTTTCTTTACAGAAACAATGTACATACATTTAGTTTGAAATAGTCATAATTGTTTCTGCCTACCCTAATGGGAGACAGGCGTGACAGATATGTATGTATGTAGTCATTAATGATCTGTATATAGTGTGTGTAGTTATAGTTCATTTTAATAGAACGTAATGAAAACGTAACTTGTTTTTTTTTTTTTAATTATCATAGAAATACATCTTAAATGAAGTAACTTGTTAGTAACTAATCGAAACATTCAATCAATTGGTTCGGTTAATTAATAATTTGTTTACGTTTTTATTAGGTTCTTTTGAAATGAAACTATATAAAATATTTGCAATTATATTTATACCTACTATAAGTACCTATATCCATCGGCACTATGTAATAGGTAGTGCCCTGTGAAATAAATATGTAGACATGACTAACCAATTTGCACAAATTTAAAGAGTAAATGTTAGCTAAATAGTTAATAATTTAGTTTAAGATGTTTTTATTCAGGTATATTATTTGTTATTCATGTACGTATGTAATATGTTGGTAGTGAAATAGTCAGTGAGTTTTCTATTTGAAAGGAGAATAAGCAAACACGTTCGCCATTTTAACGTCTGTGAAGATCTATATTTATATTTGATACTAGTTATATAATATTCAAGTTTGATCAAGAAATTATATAAAAATTTATATAGTTATAGATATTTGAACTTTCTGAACTATTGAATTTTTTCCAGTTTTGCTTGGCAAAGAATTTTCCGAACTAACGGTGAAACCATGATGATAATTATGAGAAAATAATTAAGACCAATTTAAAAGTGCTTGTTAACAAGTCTATTTGCATTCTATTGATGTTAATCTCAGTATAATGAAAGATAACACTATTTATTCAGAGTGCAATTCCAACAAGGTTTGTACTAATAGCCGATACTAGTACCAGCTAATCTTGTGCATGACATAATATATGGACCTAGGTATCTATTTAAAAATTATTTCAAGAGAGGAATATATCTTCCCGTCTGTAATAATCACTTTGGTTTGAATTACTAAAGTGCTTATTTTTAGATTTTTGTAGATTATATATGTGTGAGTATTTAAAATTAATTTTATTTCGTATACTAAAGCTTTATATTTAGCATTTTTTTTTATAATTAGGTAAGTAATTAGACTATATTTTTTTTCCGTACACAATACGTAATTTAACCTTAAGGACATGCTTTACAGAGCACACTAGCTACATAAATTGCTTTCAAATTTGATAATAAATGGAAAAAGAACGTTGCGTGCAAGGTTAATAAATGTTACATTCTAAATAACTTCTATCGAGTATTTTATCGTTACTGCTATGTTTTTCGGTTAATTAACCCCATGTTAGTCGCGGCGGTACCCTACGGTACCGTGGGATTTAGAATTCAATGACTCGACTTGACCGCTAAAACTGGTAGGTACCTAACCTACTATGTATATTACTTTAGGTTTTAGGAATTCACTGTATTTAATTTCTTTATACACATTTCATGCACTTTCATAATGTGTCAAAGAAATATTGCATGATAACACGTCGGCTACATGGATTTTTCCTGTGAAAATACGTGACATAATCACTTATTTAGCAGTTGTGTAAAGTATCTATATGTTGAAGAGTATGTATCTCTTTTTGTATAAATTTATTTATTATAACAATAAATATTTCTAAGGAATTACAAATAAATTAATATAATAATGAGGAAATTGTAAATATTTGAAGTCTTAATAACTTAGAATATTTACAGTTAATAGAACTAACGATATAAATAAGTAAGTATAACTACGAGTACGACGTATATGTATCAAAAGCGAAGATAAAGGCAGAAAATGGAAAATCCAAAGTTATAAATGTAAATTACCTATATTTTAACAGTAATCCTATTGTTGTAACACAGTGACTTGTCGTTTATTTTATAGAAGTGAAATATATGAATATTTTTGTAAGGTAGTAAATATTTTATGATATGAGCAAATTATTAGGCGATTAACATTTAGCACTTGTAACTTTTATTTGTGAGCATGGTTGAGTGAAAGCTGGTAAAGAAATGAAAGTAGTTCTCTGCCATCGACATGTGGTCCGCGGCCGGCCATCGAAACGTTGTTGGCTAGTTATAGGAATCGAGTCTCCGAGTGCTTCAGGCGGTCCAGTCCAGAACGGCTAGTCTGCCGGTGCTGCGTGACAGCTTGTCTTTTTCTCATCATTTCGCTCGCTTCATTTATAATGTACGCTTGTAACGGATTACAGGGGTATATGATATCAATTGCGCAGTATTGGGTAAATTTTACTATTATTGTTTTTATAAGATTAAAAAAAATATTGCATTGGCCAATTGCGTTGCGCCACTATGAAATAGTGCTTAATACTAATAGTAAACACGTAACTAAAATCTTTTTTGTAAAATTATTTTTAACTAGCTGTAACCTGTATTAGTTAATCCAGGATATGATCATTCAACCGTTTAAAACGTAATTGAGTAACAAATATTTAAGTATCCTAAGATCTTTACAAACTTTCACATTTATAGCATTTACCCGCGACTACGTCCGCGTAACTGGGATATATTCACTGACCGTGATAAAAAGTAGCCTGTGTCTTCCATCTCA